GGGGGGGGTGTGTGGAGAAAACACTAATCTGATTTCATTTCCACCAATCACTCCGTTCCCCCATCCCCCATACCCCCTTACCACCGGCCAACCACCTTCACCTATTCTTTGTTCACTGGGGGTCAAGCAACAGCAGAGATAAATCCCTCCTGATAAAGCAAAGTAGTTCATCTCCTCTCACCACACAGGAGAAACAATGACCGCTGGTCAGTTTTAGTGCTTTATGACCAGTAATAAGACGATTTAGAACACCTCTTGAGACGTTGCTGTTGGACAGTATGTCAGCTCCCCATGTGGATAGTATCCTGTATACAAGTACATGTACAAGGTTTGGTGGGTTTTTTCGTGGACTTCATATCGTGTAAACAAATAGCAAAACCAAACCAAAACAACAAAAGACAACAAATCAAAGCAAAACAAATCAAAACAAAACAGGAGAGTGTTTTCATCAGATTTAGAATTTGTTCTTCAATCCACTACAGTGTTCGAAAGGATTCAAAATTGTGAAAAACTGTGTTGAGCGTACATAAAACTAAACGAAATGCAATAGATTTTTTAAAAATCGCGCATTTTTTGTTTTGTTTTTGAAAATCGAAAGAAAGCGACTGTATGATAATATTATTATTGTTATCTAGTGAGCTATAAATATATAGTGATACTTTTACACCCCAAAGATTGAACTTTTGGGTTAAGAACTTTTAAATGTTTTTATTGAATGTAGTCATCCGTAAACTCCGACTTGTTAAAATTCATGTCTTCGTTTGCCAGGAATACAATGAAACGCTTTTTTTGTGTGTGAAGTAATGTTCCGCCCCTTCCACACTGCGGTACCTACATTTTTTGTTGTTGATAATAATGACATCTTTTCAAAGGACTCAATTCATTAAAAAAAATGTTTTAAAAAAAGATAGAATGTACTCATTCTCTCACGTGACTTGGTTGTTTTGAAAAGTTTCATTATCTATTAGCATTTAAAGAAACATATTGTTGAAGTTGTTGTTGGTGTTATTATTATTATTATTATTATTATTA